GGTTGGGGTGTGCAGTTGCACAATAGTACTCCCGGGCAGTCAGGTGACATACAGGTGTCATGTTGCCGGTGATGCAGGAAATCACTTCAATAATGATTTCAGTTCAACTGAAAAGCACAATGAGGGGAATTTACCAAAACTGCAGCAGACAGAATCTGGAGGAGTTACCCATGTCAACCAATCAGCTTCTCTCTTCAGCTTTGTAAAATAAAAGATAAAAGGAGATTGGTTGCTACTGCTCCAGATTCTGTCTACCAAATTCCCCTCGCTGAGCTTAAAAAAAAAAATACATCCAGTTACCGCATTTATCGTCTCCTGCAATGGCAGAACCCGTGTACCTGGCAGCTAGATGAAGGGGAAGATCATTACAAATAATAATTGGTTGTATGTTCAGGTTTTTTGGAACCTTATGGGACCATTTTTGATGGACTGATCGGCCAGCTGCTAAGTGTTGAGCCTCTCTCTTCCTTGTTCCTTGCAGCTCCACCACCGGCGGTTATAAAAAGTTGATGTACACTTTTCCAATGTTCCTGAGGCCCTTCCTCTTGGACATACAGGTGTCCAGCATTTCACGCGTGGGGAGGAAATTGTCCGTGTTCAGGATGAATTGCTGCAAAGCTCTCTCTGGTGGCACAGAGTTCTTTTTATTCTCCCTGCTGACGCTGTCCAATAGGATGCCTCGCACGTCCTTGGGTTTTCCCGGCAGGCCGAAGACAATAAAGAGGCCCAGGCAGTCCGAGCCCACCAGCCGGCAGAACTCCTCCAGCTTCTCGTACGGGCTCTTGTTTTTATAAAACGTGTCGGTCAGTTGGATCTCCTTGCAGGGGCCGTTGTCTATCGTGTCTCCTCTCCCCTCGTTGTTGAAGTCGGACATCTGTAAGCTCTGGACGGCTATCTGGAGTCTCACGGATTTGTCAGGGCTGAGTAGGGTCCAAATCCAGTCCACGCCAAACAAGATGGCTTGTTGCTTGGTCATTTTGCTGGTAGCGATTCTTTCTTCGACTCCCTTTTCGGCGCAGAAGGTGATAAAGTTGACCAGAAAGATCTCCGTCAGGGTGTCCGTGCTGGGGTGGAAGCTGCCGCAGGGGTCTTCAAATCCGAGATACTCCTTTAGTTTTTGGGAAGCGTGTACCACTCCCTGGCTGAAGATCTCGCAGACGATATCCGACTTGTCCGGCTGGGTGACGATGATCTGAGTAGAAGTCTGACCCATCATGGAAGGCTTACATGGCCATTAAGGTTCCGGAAGCCCCAGGCGGCGTGTTCAAGGTCTGTATGAAGCAGCTCTGAACCGGCACTGCCGTGTATTGTGTTCTTTGACGTGTGACTCTCCTATAATGGAGGGCTGGGCTTCCCATTGTGTCAACGGAGCTGCGAAAACTGGCCGGACAACTTTCACATTCTGTAATTAAAAACACATCCTGATTCGTAGCTGGGGGCAAAGTCTGTGTAGATGATTAAGTAAAAATACTTATTAGGCACAAGGATGACTAATCGGTGATGGTGTCTTGGCCAGGATTCTTTTTGGGGAAGGTTCCTGGATGGGTTTGACTCAGATCTTGGTGCAGGACATTTAGTGAGTGTAAGGTAGGTAAGGGTATGAAAGGGTTAAAGTTAATCGATAGATTAAAGGTTTTATTATAGGGGTTCAACTAATAGGCTGGCCCAGTCCACCTAAAAGTTATATTTTAGCTATAGGTGGAGCCTGGTGGACTTTTTAGGTCTTAGATATTACCAACAGTGAAGGCTTCATGCTGTACTTCCTAGCTCTGTACCTGCCCACATGAGATTTTTTTGGTGTCCTGTCCTGGCTTATGTTTTACAGAATATAAATATTTAGTAGGGATGGTGGGAGCCCATTATAATGGGCACAGTGAGAGCTCAGATCCAGGAACTCAGCATAGGGATATGGGAGCCCCTCATAATGGGCACAGCAGATGTACAGACCCAGGAACTACGCAGAGGGATGACAGGAACCCCTCATAATGGGTACAGCAGGTGTACAGACCAAGGACCTCGGCAAAGTGATGGTGACAATCCCTCATAATGGGCACAGCACATGCACAGACCTGGGAACTCTGCACAAGGATGGTGGGAGACCCTCATAATGGGCTCAGCAGATGTACTGACCCAGGAACTCAGCACAGGGATGGCAGGAATCCCTGATAATGAGCACTGCAGCTGTGTAGAGCCGAGAACTTAACACAAGGATGGTGGAAGCCACTCATAATGGGCACAGCAGGTGTACAGACCAGGGAACCCAGTACAGGGATGATGACAATCCCTCACAATGGGCATAGCAGATATACAGAACTGGGAACTCAACACAAGGATGGTGGGGACCCTCATAATGGGCAGAGCAGGTGTGTAAGACCTGGAAACTCAGCAGAGGGATGGCAGGAGTAAAGATCTCACCAGTAGAGTTGTGCTGCATGTTACCTCAACCATCTTACTGGTCCATTAAGGTCAGCTGGATACAACTATTTATACTTTTGCTTTTGGAGTTAAACCCCAGAAAGAACACATGTGAGGAAACTGATCACCAGGAGAGAATAAAAACCATATAACATGCTCAGAGTACCCTGCTGGGGATTCGACCAGAGATAAATAGAACACTTGCAGCACTTGACATTTACAAAGTCCAAACCTCCAGCAATGACGTCGCCTTGTGTTAGCTCACCAGCTGCCAATCCCAGGCTTTGTTTACTCTCATTAAACCCAAATGATGAAGTTTTACTTTAGGAGGCATTATGATAATTGCACAGGAATTGTTCCAATAAACCCGGCATGAAGGACATGTCGTGTACACTGCGCACTGTGTATCATAAGCAATTGCCATTTAAAAGAGAAATTCATGTTATTACCTTTTTACATCCTTGTTGCATCTCAGTGCTGCTGACCTCCTGCAGCTACCTACTGTCTATATGCACTCCACCGATGGCTGCATGGCGTTTCTCAGGTCCGGTTTAGTGATGGTGACAACAGTGGACCATGCCAGTTGAAGCAGCTGCCTGTAGTCTTCATTGGAAGCCCGTGGAACAGGATGACAACGCAGCAGAATTAGGAGACAGGGACAGAGCGCCGTCACCTATAACAGGAAGTACCTGAACAAGGAAATTTAGAGCAGGATCACCAGCTATGAGATTAGTGAATAAATGATTCAATATTGCAGAAAGATTAACCACTGAGGAGTCTTCAAAGGAGACCTAATCAGTGTTTAAATAACATTTAAGGCATATAGCTACTTATGTGATACAATGTAACCAAATATTAGTGAGTGGGGAAAAAACAGCAATCCACTTTAACAATCCAGATAGTGAATAATGACACAAACTAATCAGTTTAAGAAGCATTGTAAAGTGTTCCAGTGAAAGAATAAAATGAATGAAAAAACTTCTTAAAAAGTCTCAATCCGTGATGTGAAAAATGTCAGTATGAAGAACAAATGACGTCTTCTGAAGGTAAGGATCTGTTTACCTTCAGAAGACGTCAGGTGACAGTATTTCAACACTGATTAGGTCTCCTTTGAAGACTCCTCAGTGGTTAATCTTTCTGCAATATTGAATCATTTATTTTCACTGCGAATGTTTAGGTTTTCACTTAAAAAAAGTCAAAATAAAATTTGTATTACAGCTCAATCTCATAAAGCGAGTCATAAAGGTGAAACATATATGAATTTTTCAACAGTGGTATTTAGTTGATTCATGCACCCTTAGCGCTGTGTTAACACTTTTGAATCACCGTTCCCTTTTTCTCATAGCAGCTTTAGGGCCATTATTAATGTAAAAAATATATATACGGTATTTTAAAGATATTTTTAGCAGTCTTCCAAAAGCGCCGATCATTGTTACAACTATGAGATTAGTGAAAGCTGCAGATTTATAAATATTGAACATAACTTTTGATATGACACTAGGGGGAAAGGAGAGTGACACAGAGATGATCTCATCATTCTGCTGGTTTCCTTTCACTGTCTAGTCACAGCCTGGGGGAGAGGCAAGACCTGTAAAGGTGCCCATACACTGTACGATTCTCGTACGAGAATCGCGGGAAATCCCACGATCGTACGAGGATCGTACGAGAATCGTACAGTGTATGGAAGGCGTGTGATCGTTTCTACTGTACGGTCGCACGTCTTCTGCTTGTTCGACAACTGCCGAACAGGCCGGTGTGCGCACGCGCACACTGCCCGTTTGCAGTGATCGGAAGCCCGTCCCTCACTGCGGTCATCGGAAGCCCGTCCCTCACTGCGGTCATCGGAAGCCCGCCCCTCAGCGGGGCGGGCTTTCGATGATCGCAAGTACAATCTGCCCGTCCAAGATGGGCAGATCGTACGAGCTTTCAATGAGCTTACAACCATCGCAAGACAAAGGTCTTGCGATGGTCATAAGGTGTATGGGCACCTTAAGTGTTACTGAACTGCAGCAGAGACAATCAGGCCTCCTGCCCTGCCAGTTTTTAGCCTTTGGTCTGGAGTTCAGCTTCGAGTTTACAATGATATTTCCACTGAAGTGCTTTTCTATAAGAATTTTATGAATACAGAGTTACCTGTAGCAGAGAAATTCTGGGCGGACTCCGAGAGGTGACGTGTATACAGACTGGTGTTTGGACTTGCAGTGCTGGAGTCAAATCTATGCAAATGACAAAAAACAAATAAAACTCAGTGCAGTGGAGGAGGAAAGAATCGAAGGGACGAGATTAGTCACTACGAGGTCCGTATATGACATCTGGGAATACTTGCCGCATCCCCCCCCCTTGTCTGTTCTGGACCCCTCCATATATTATATTGAGGGACCATATATAGTATAGCGGTGTCAGCCTTGCACCTCCCTCCTGGTGATGCTTGGTATTGCAGCACACATTCTCTGTATGACAACCATTGGAAGTTCCCTCTCTAGACCTGGCCAGATGAGCAATCACATGAAAGTAGATGGGGGAAGGGTGTTTGAAAACCTCTCCAATTCCCAACCATCAAAACGGAATATTTCCATTTAGTTTTCCAAATCCCCTTTAAGGTGGAACTCTAGGCCCATGATTAACAATATGTAAGTGTAACATGCCCAGGTAATTACTGTATTACCTCCTACAGAGATTGCAATACTATACAATACTACAATACAATGCCTTCCTCTGCTTTTCAGAGCCATCTTTGTTCAGACATCTACTTACTGGACTGAGATGCTGGCTCAGAGATGACAGAGTAATGTATTATCCAGGGTCACCATCTACTTCCTGAACTGAGATAACAGAGTAATGTATTATCCAGGGTCACCATCTACTTCCTGGATTGAGATGACACCATCCTGTATTATCCAGGGTCACCATCTACTTCCTGGACTGAGATAACAGAGTAATGTATTATCCAGGGTCACCATCTACTTCCTGGACTGAGATAACAGAGTAATGTATTATCCAGGGTCACCATCTACTTCCTGAACCGAGATAACAGAGTAATGTATTATCCAGGGTCACCATCTACTTCCTGGACTGAGATAACAGAGTAATGTATTATCCAGGGTCACCATCTACTTCCTGGACTGAGATAACAGAGTAATGTATTATCCAGGGTCACCATCTACTTCCTGGACTGAGATGACAGCGTAATGTATTATCCAGGGTCACCATCTACTTCCTGGACTGAGATGACACCATCCTGCATTATCCAGGGTCACCATCTACTTCCTGAACTGAGATAACAGAGTAATGTATTATCCAGGGTCACCATCTACTTCCTGAACTGAGATGACACCGTGATGTATTATCCAGGGTCACCATCTACTTCCTGAACTGAGATGACACCGTAATGTATTATCCAGGGTCACCATCTACTTCCTGAACTGAGATGACACCGTGATGTATTATCCAGGGTCACCATCTACTTCCTGAACTGAGATGACACCGTGATGTATTATCCAGGGTCACCATCTACTTCCTGGAGTGAGATGACACCGTCATGTATTATCCAGGGTCACCATCTACTTCCTGGACTGAGATGCTGGCTCAGAGATGACACAGTCATGTAAATCCTGGCGTCTTTGCCGTTCTTGTCTGTGTTCACAAATATCTAATGCAGATCAACCCCTGCTACAGCCTCTCACCTTGTTACAATGTTGCAGTCTGATCACTACAAGGTTACAATGTTGCAGTCTGATCACTGGAGAGGAGACTGAGGAAATGCTTCCTCCTGACTGCAGCAGACTGATCACTGGAGAGGAGACTGAGGACATGCTTCCTCCTGCCTGCAGAAGAATGATGACATCATCTCAGCCTAGGCAGTCACTGGACTGGAGCTCAAGGGAGGCTTTTTAGTAATAAAAGGTGGCGCTTTCCTGAAAAAATTATCGTGTTCTGCATGCTGTGACTGTCAGGAATGTATTCATACAAAGTACTAAAAATACTGAAAGGCCCATTTTAAAAAGAAGTTAATTTTTCATTGTGTTTACAGGCAAATGGCGCTGCCAGATTTCCGTTCTTCAAAGAAGCGTATGACAACACAAAACAAACGCGAGAACGCCTTCTTGTTAAACATAAGCCTTTATTAGATCAAATATATAGACTGACACAATGACCGTCTCCTGTATATTCTAGAACAAGGTCATAGTGTTATATCACCTCTTGCAATGAACTGCAACTTTTTTTTTTAAAAAGGCACAAATTCTGGGAGGAGTTCTGGCACCTCGATCCACAGGCCCGGAACACGCCAGAACTGGCGCCATTTGTAAAACGTGTAACTGAGCAAACATATGTCTATTTTTCAATGCCAGACAGTGAACACTGGAGCTGGCTTATCCAGGGAGGCAAAAGGGACAATGCCGAAGCCATGAACTTATAGCAACCCACTTTTTTTTTTTAACTCTTATCTTATTGGCTGCTGTGGCTTAGGGGTCTTTCCAATGTACCCCGGCCTAAAGCCAAACTCCAGGCAGCTTGCATATCTCCAAAAGCAATGGAACTACAAATTCCAGCATTTCCTGACTGAGCACACTAGCATTTGCATCTTCACAACTGCTAGAAGGATGCAAGCTGCTGGTTATACACCTCATCAGTACACGTTATAATATAACAACTCCCGTTAAACCCGCCAGCTCCATTAACCCGCCGCGTTATCAGCAACGCTTGCGTCAACACGGCGTTATAAATAAAACGTACATAAAAATACATAAATATTAGCCGGGGGAGGGGTAAATAAAGCCAAGAAAGGAAGGAGATGAGACATTCGGAATCAAGCAGGTCGGCTTTAGAAACACTTGTGCTATTAAACTGGATTTTGTTTGTGTATTTATATATATTTTTTATTTATAACATGATCGCTGCTTTTCAATGGAATTGGAAATACTGAACATCTGCAAATGTTAGAAGAAAAAATAAAGATAAAGGCCACCCAAAAGAGACATTATAGATTCTGGTGGCTGCTTAAATCACCCGCCTGCTTCTTTTATTCCTCCAGCAACAAGGGTTCCCAGCTCCGCCTACCTGCTGTAGCTGCTGGATTCTCTTTCTATTTTGGCAAATGCAGGAGGAGAAGTGAGACCTTGTCACCATCGCTAGTGAGCAATATAGGAAAGCCAGTAGGTGATTCAACGCAGCAATGGTTAAAATCGAAGTTTTGGGTGGTGTGACCCTTTAAATACAAGTTATTTTGCAGTAGGTACAAACTCAATTCAATGTAGCTGAACTTTGCAATATATTGCCGTCAACAGAACAGAAAGGTGGATCTGCTGCAGAATTTTGCATTAAAACAGTACATTTTTCAGTACAATATTGGCAAATTATGTTTTTCTCGTATTAAATCCCTTATGTATAGTTTTAGCCAGACTGCAGGACACAATCAGAACCAGTTGGGACAGACGGCTGTGCCTCTAAACCATCTTGCTACATTTAAGGGATGACGAATATTTAGAGATCTTTTGAATTCCCAATCTTTCTTGAAAAAGTGACAAATCACAAAGTATAACTAATACTTATCTGTACAGAAAAGAGCAAGTCCACCCAATATGGAAGCAAATGGATCCCCCAAATCTCTTTATGGCTCTCTAAGACCATGGCAGGGAGACCACCCACCCCCTTTACCGCCATGAGTGAGCGTCACCATCCTTAATGAATTATCTATATATCCCTAAAGAGTGTCAACTAAATGATGCGAGATATTGCACTGCACTACGGGAATTAATTCACTTAGTCATGTGACAACAGTAGCTCACCCACGCCAAGGTTGTAGAGGGGGGGTCCACTTGCTTTGGTTCCCCCCAAAAAACACATATGGGGGTCAAACTCAGCCCTTATCCCAAAATGAAAGGATCTCTTTAAAGTGTACGCAAGTTCCCCGCAGAATTACTGAGACGCTTTGTCATCAGAACGGATGCAGCTTATCAGTTTGCTAGTGACAACAGAGAGGTTCGGTCCCGGGGGACATGACAGACCCGATTTCCTTGCACTGCTTTGGCTACGCGCAGAACACAAATGATGTCATACGGAACCTCAGAGCTGCACTTTAAAGAAAAGGCACTTATTCTCCACTTCCACCTGAACACTGTGAATTAAATTCAGTATCTGAAAAAAAAAAAAAATATATATACTTTGACACAATAAAAAAAAAGTTACAGGCGATTGCATATTTGTCACACGTTCGAGTCGTCATCTGTAATACTGGCGCTCGGCGATCTGGCGGAGAAGTCTTTGAACATTTCATCTTCTTTCAGCATGTGCTGTAAGAGAAAGATTGTGGTGAACACCATGAGTCACAGTCATAGCCAAACACATTTACAGGACCCCCACCTGTGTACCTCATACAGACCAATCCTGTGCACCTCTTTACAGATCAGCCCTGGCACATGTGTACCCCCTATGGACTAGTCCCCACACCTATATGTACCCCTTATAGACCAGCCCCCACACCTGTGTATGCCTCAAAGACCAGCCCCCCCCCCAACTGTGTACCCCCTATGGAAAAGTCCCCACACCTATATGATTCCCTT